TACAATTGAAACAGCTTTCAACCCAGACAACATTTCCAAAACATGTAAAGCATCCACGTGTGTGTGGTGCTGGAGGTGGGGATCCTTTGAATCCCTTCTGATTCTCTGCATCAGTCTTTATCAAAATGGAAAAATCTTGAAGTGGCTATTAACAGCATCCAAACGTGCCATCCCCACTCAGGGATCTGGGGGTCATGGGTGATCTGGGGGTCTGTGAGCAGAGAAGAGAGGAAAAATTGCTGTTGACTTCCTCTAACTGGACGGTTTATCAGTGACATTCCTTGATTTTTTTTTTTTTTTGTTGAGATGTCATCCCAGGTGTTCCTTGTGGAAGTAGGCAAAGATACCTGCTATAGTTTAGTAAAAAGTAAGATTTAATACAGGCCTCTGGCCGAATTTAACCTGTGAGATGACCACATCTTAAAACTAAATTTATGAGCTCAATAACAAAAGGACAACAGCATGAAAAGTGACATGAAATTGCAAAACCATAAAAAAACGGACTTACAAAATGAATGTTATTGACCTGTTAGAACCCTGAACTGATTCAACTAAACCTGGGTTTTCAGATTTGGCTACAATAACACTCATGTGAAAGAGAGTTGTCAGTCAGAACATACTCAGACAACAAGTAAGGTACTTAAAATAGTATGAGGGGAATAGTATGAAAACATGGATATGATGTTTCTTACTGGGTATGTTGTATGTATGTAGAGGGAAGAAGTTAATATGTGATGAGGTATGTGTGACTGATATGTTAATGTCTAATAATGAAACCTCTAACAGTGTTTGGATAATTTTTCTCAGAAAAACTAAACCTCTGATGTCTTATTTTCATTCTGAGCTGCAGAGATCAAAAGAAGAGCTTCATCACAGTCAAGACTCCTGTTGGATTAAATGTATTTATTGCACAGCCCTATTACATACTTAATTCTGGATAATCACTGCATTCTAAGGTCTGATATTTCTGTATAACAGACCATTGCTTAGGATGTCGCTCTGATCTGTGTTGACAGTTGTCACTTTTCAGTTAGGCTACTGCATTAGAATAATTAGAATTTTTTTGTCCTCCCATTCAGGCAACAGTAGCAGATTGCTCTCATAAAGCGGTGTATGGTAGTTATGACGACTTCTAATTATAAACATTTTGCGCACAGTTTTGTCACATCCACTGCCACAGACAAACAGACATTACTTTTAAGAACACCAAAGAAGTCCCATTCCCTTGTCTCATTTCACTACCAATGGCAACGTCCAGTTTAATGTGAATTATATTCATCCTGTCAGGGTTTATTTCTCTGTAACAACCTGCTCACTCTATTATCCATACTCCATTATCCCTTACAATATAATCTAGTTATACCATAATAAACAGTATATATTTAAAGTATCATATTTATGCCATGTACAATGTATGTTGTGTTATTTTGGGATGTCTATAAAGCATCTTAGATGGAGGCTTAATAAATTTTATTGCATCTTGTGTGCAATGATTTTAATGTGCTCTATTTATTGAATCTGTGTTAGTTCAAATTAAGGTAGAATGTTCAACGCTGTTATTCATAAAAAAATCAAGAACCAGAAAATCTGCACCTTGGTTTGCTATTGCTTCTGTGACATACTTGAAAAGGATGGTCATATTTTATGTTTTTACCCTTGCTATCATTGCTAACCAAAAAAAAAAAAAAGGATGTACTTGTATGAACCAAAAAGGTCAATTATTATAATTTGGTAAGAGGATAGGATTTCCATTACTTACAGAGTCAGTGTGGCAGTTTGCTTCTTCCCTCAGACTCTCTTCACACACAAACTTCGTTAACTTCCTCTTTGTAATGAGTGTAGCTCCAACTGACAGAAGCAGTGGACATCTGTGTCATTCTTTCACTGATTTACAGGTTGGAAAGGTTTTAAAACCGTGAAACTATGCATGACTATTGCGCCACATTTAAGTTAAATGTCAGATGGATTAATAATGTATCACATTTTTTTAGGATTAATTTAAGGATTAATTTCTGTGTTGTCATTAAGGTTCATTCTGGTTTCTGATTCCAGTTTGGTTCATTTTAGGGTTTAAAATGATTATCTTGGAACACTTGTTTATTGTACAAATATATTTGATGTTACAGTGTGAGAGAGTAAGGGAACACATACTACGTTTCAATGGTATTGTTTCAGCGTTTGTAGATCAAATATTAACTCAGTTAACTGCCTGAATGGGACATTTTAGTTTACAGTAGCACCCTGACAATAGTCTTTTATGTGTAACGGAAAAGGTGATTTAGTAGTTGATGTCTTTTTGGTTTTGATAGTATGAATGGTTTATGAGAAATATATATAGAATATAACATTTAGATTAGGATAGAAGAGGGAAAAAAATTGCACATTTATAAAAAAAAAAAAAAAAAAAAAAAAAAAATCTTCTGACTGAAGCTACAGTCTTCAGTCTCGTTCTTTCTCTTGTATTAACAGGAACCCTAATCTGTTTTATGGGTTCTCAGTCTGAGACCTGAAACATTTCCTGAATCCAACGGGGCACGGGAGCCATTTTAGGATGGAAATATAATTTTTGCTTTTGCTTGAGTGTTAATTGTGTTACTTTGGTGAGATAGTGATCATACCTTTAATCTCTCCACTCAAAATTGGCAATCTTGGAGATGAGGCTTAGCACTCTTGGGTTGACAGCACACTGGCGACCCGTTTCTTTTCGTGTGACTTTGGTCCCTTTGGTCGTGTGACTTTGGTCCCTTTGTCAGGGTTGATTTTAAAGAAGCACTTGTTGGAAAAAAATTGAAAAATTATAAAATAAAGGTTTTTCTTTGTAGAATTATTAATGAAAAATTCTGTAGATTTCTGGTAATATCACGTCATTTGAATTAGGAGATTTTACCAAAATTTTAAGGTTTTTGTTTGGTAGCCGTTGCTGCCAGACATTTTACCCTTTTTTTTTTTTTTTTTTTTACAGTGTACCCATGTCTCATATATAACAACCCTTTTTCAACTACTTGAATACAGATAATATGAACCTTTTGGACTATGAGATCCATGAGGTCGCAGGAACTGCCCCAAGAGCTGTAGCAAGGCACAGACCTGGACAAGGCTACAAAAAAAAAAAAAAAAAAAAAATATATATATATATATATATTATATATATATATATATATATATTCTGCTGCAGTTGGTGTTTCTAAGAGCAAAGTGGCCTGAATCATACATTTACATGGAAGAAGTCTGGGTCAACCAGGACTCTTCCTGGAGCTGGCCGTCTGGCCAGACTGAACAGTTGGGGGAGAAGAGCATTGGTTGGAGATTGGTTGAAGAGGTAACCAAGAACCCAAAGATCATTCTGGTTGAGCTCCAGAAATCCTGTGTGGAGATGGGAGAAAATTCGAGAAGGTCAACCATTGCTGCAGCCCTCCACCAATCTGGGCAATGCGGCAGAGTGACCTGACGGAAGCTCAATGAAGTCTCTCCTCAGACACATGAAAGGCTGCGTAGAGTTTGCAAAAAAAACTCCTGAAGGCTGTGAGTAAATCTATGCAGCCTTTCATGTGTTTTGCACTAAGGAGAAGCTTCGGTCGGGCCACTCTGCCATAATTTTCACATAACTGAAGACATAATCGATGACCATTCTTAAACCTTACATACCATAGGGCTCGTCCGGGATTTGAACCCGGGACCTCTCACACCCAAAGCGAGAATCATACCCCTAGACCAACGAGCCACTTATGACACTCATCTATCACCCTAAATTTTCAAAGTCTGTCTGCTAATATAAACAGCTACCTTTTGACAAACAGAGAGTAGTTGTGGTTCCACATCATCTTTCTAATGTGTATCAGTTGTTGGCACTCTTAGTTACGACCCATAACTGCTGCAATGGCTTCCAGTGGATTCATGAATTAACTACGGAGGGTCCAGAGGTTCTCAGTAAATCCAGTCAATGGCTGATAGACTTAATAAGCTTTAATAAGTCAGTGAAACACTCCAGCATCTATTATATTACACAGATTCTTCAATTTAGCTTTGGACCCCAGTTACAAGTTTAGCAGAGTGAGAGCTTTGCCAAAGACCATCCGTAGGCTTTAAAGCTGGGGTTGGTAATCCTGGAGAGCTAGCAAGAGAGCTAGCAAGATTTGAAAATTGCACCTCCTCTGAGTTCCACCCCCCTCCTCCCCCTCCCGTCAGTGTGTACGTCCAAGCCACGCCCCTACAAACTGGAACGCGCACTGCACGAAAATGAGAAGCGGCAGGAGGAGTACTATATATATATACACTATAATCTATTCAACACTAGCGTCACCGACCCGTTTTAAACCCACAGAGAAGCTAATATTAGCATTAGGCTAATACAAGCTACAAAAGTAGCTACGTTAGCAAAAGTTACACATTTCATAAAAATAACAAATCCTCCCCGAAACAAAACATATAATTACCTGTCCAACAGAAAGAGAGCAACCTCAGCATCACTTCAAATCCCTCAGTTGTCTCCACAAAAGCAACACCGATGTTTTCTCTGGTTTGACGTCTGGCTTTATCCAGAGCCTTTTTGTTAGCAGCCTTTTCAGCCTCCTTTCTCTTCCTTGCCTTTTTCTCGGGGCGAGCCGTTACAAGTAACGCTGGAAGTAGTAACTGGGGCTGCATTTTCTCAGCCATTGATCATAAATGAGCATGAAATCCGTTCTGCTGTAACTCTGTACGCTGATTTCTTCCGGCAACAGCGACACGTGAAGATTGTGTACACGCGTCGGAGACAGGGATCGAGGGGGGCGGATACAGAACTAGACATGAAGGCATCTGATTGGTTTTTGCTCTTCACACCGAAGAGCGTGGATTGGTCGGAGTTTTGTCAGTCCTGCAGCTGCCACAGAGGACTGATTATTTTCGTTCCATTTTCTGAATACATAATGTATTGATTACTCAGAAGGTAGAAGGACCATTTCACCCAGTGTAACAAAAAGTGTTTCTGAACAGGATTACAAACCCCAGCTTTAACTACTAAAGGGCTTGTCTGGGATTCGAACCCAAGACCTCTCACACGCTAGGCGAAAATCACACCCCTAGAGCAGCGAGCCTATAAGCAGTTGTAGCAGACCCAAAATGGTTCCTTATTATCTTTCAAATGTGAATCAGTGGTTAGCACTTTTAGTTAGAACCATTACTGCTGCAAAGGGCTGCTGGGGAGTTCATGTAATTAATCATGGAAGTCACAGTTCAACATGATACTGTAGGGGCACTGCAGACACTATATATGTTCTACTATTCAGCTGTTGGACCTTGGACCCCACATAATACTTAGATGTTCAAGCCAAGAGTTGTGAGGACTTTGCTAAAGAACAACCCTGCATCTTACCTACCAAAGGGTTGATCTGGGATTTGAACCCAGGACCTCTCATACCCAAACCAAGAATCACACCCCTAGACCAACGAGCCAGCTTTTTCACTGTTTGGTGGATGTATGTGGGTGAGGAAGAGGAACTATGCAGGATATTTCCTGTGGCTATGCTACATTTTTACCTTAATTAAACAGCTTCAGTAATTGTGATTGTTACATACATGACTTGTAACTTGTTACGAGGGAGAATGGAGGCTCTCTGACATCCACCTGGCATCTCTGGGCTAAAAACCAAACTTGCAACACCAGTGCAGCACTTGGCCTCTGCCCTGGTGTCCCAGTTATGGTCTCGGCGCACCAAGGCACAAACGCCATCCATAACCAGCAATCTTTATTATCCTTCCAATGTGAATCAGTGGTTAGCACTTTTAGTTAGGACACATTACTGCTGCAAAATATCAATGGAAACCCCAAATTCAGTATCTCAAAAACTTAGAATATTACATCAGACCAATTAGAAAAATGATTGTTAATAAAGACTTGTTGGTCTTCTGAAAATTATGTCCATTTATATGCACTCCATACTTGGAAGGGACTCCTTTTGCTTGAATTACTGCATCAATGCAGGGTGGCATGGAGGCAAACAGCCTGTGGTACTGCTGAGGTGTTATGAAAGCCCAGGTAGCTTCGACAGTGCCCTGTTTCAGTGTGTGTGTAATGAATGTATATCATGTAGTAGTTTCACTTTTTGAATTGAAATCTTGAAATAAATGAAGTTTTCCATGATGTTCTAATTTACTGAGATGCACCTGTATATTCTACTATTCAGCTGTTGGACCTTGGACCCACCAGGATACTTACAAGTTCCAGCCAAGAGTGAGCACTTTGCTAAAGAACAACCCTGGATCTTACCTACTAAAGGGCTTGTCTGGGATTTGAACCTGGGTCCTCTTGGACTCAAAGCAACAATCATACCCCAAGACCAACAAGCAAGCAACAAACTGTGAGAAAAACAAAATTCACTTGGGACAATAATGGGATCTAGACATCTTTCCACACAGACACAATTTCAGTAAACAGTTAGTAGAAGACCAAGTTGATTCAACATATACAAAAAAACACTTGTGTTTTTTTTTTTTTTTACAGAGATTCTTTAGCTCAGCAGTTACAAGTTTCACCACACAAATGTGAAGGCTTTGCCAAAGATCAAACTAGTATGACTCCAACCAAAGGGCTCGTCCGGGATTTGAACCCGGGACCTCTCGCACCCTAAGCGAGAATCATACCCCTAGACCAACGAGCCATGTGTAAAAACCATGTATTCTCACAAAATCTTCAAATTCTGTCCATTAAAACAAAATGCAACCTCTTCACGTAGAAACTTAGACTAGTTGTCATACACAATCTTTCAAATGTGTATCAGTGTTTAGCACAGTTACGACCCATAACTGCTGCAAACGCCATGCACCTTTACCCACATCCCCTCCAGGTTTCACATTACCTCTGCTTCAGTGTTTGCCCTCTGCACTAAATATGTATAAAGTATAAGACAAAGAGTTTCAGGGGAAATCATGAAAAAGCAATAAAAAGGGTCAAAGCACAGGTTCAAAAATCCCACCTCTCCTGACAGGGTCAAAGACACACACTGCATACTGCCTCTATGATAGTTCATATCATTCTGGGCAGGATTTCTTTCAGTCTGCCTGCTTCTTAATTTAATCATCACAAAAAGATCTTGCAACTTTTTTTTTTTTTTTTTTTTTTTAAGAATAATAAAGGCAAAAATGCCCAAAAAATATACTTAAAAAAAAAAAGAGAAAACTCATGCAGACTGGACAGGCACTGTGCTGGATTTGCACAACATAAGTGCATGTAAATCAAAGGCAAAGAAGGAAAAGCAGATCCATAAATGTGGAGCAGGAAACAGTGATTCACAGAACAGGTAGCTGTAAATTTAGTCCACCTGCCACTGTTTCCTCCCTTGTACATGTTAAAGGATGACGTCGGAATATGAACATCAGTAATTTGGTGAATGAATGGATAATTGAAATGTTAACGGTTGAGTGATTTACGTGAAGACTCTTCAATTTACTTTTTTCTCTGTCCCAAACTGGAGCCTTTTAGAGATCATAATGAAAGTGACTGTATTGACTTTGAGACAGCAGCTGTGCAGCTGACGCAGGTCTACCCACAGCGTGTTGGAGCCATTCAAGTGATGCAGCTGTCACTCTGCTCTTCACTGTCAGCTGAGACACTGAGACGCCACTCAAACACTTCACTGATGAACCTGAGAATTACACTCCATTAGATGCAGAGTTTCAGTTTCACCTCTCCCGTCTGTCCATCTGCACGCTCCTTCACACACCTGCTTGCTCTCACGGTAAAACATCTGTATCTTTCCATTGTTCTCACCAGAATTGAAGTACTAATCAGATTTTTTTTTTTTTTTTTTGGTAATAATTTCCTAAAGTGTTTACATAGACAAAGTTTTATGTTTTTATACACACCTTCAAGTAGAGCGAAAGCTTTTTTAAGTTAGTTTTTTTTTTTCCCCTCTTTGCTGCTCCTGAATGGTTATATCTCTTGAACGCAATCTCTTCACCTGCAGCCTCTGACCAGTGATTGGTCAGATGTTGATTGCTGCCAATCATTGCAGTGTGGTAGTGTAGTATCAGATCACAGCTCTTGTTGCTCTCTTGCCTTGTATTGACATCGTTGTTACGGCCTCGGAGAAGATGAAACGACTCAACACCTAGAGTCCGATAACATAAATAAAGGACGCCAACTAAGGGTTTAAAGATTGAAAAGAACAAAAGTCCAAGCTTTATTGAAACTAATTCAACCAAAAGAGCATTTTACCCAAAATCAAAGAACTCAAAAGGGGAATGTAGGTGCCGGCTAAACGAAACAAAAGGGAGACGGAGGACAGGGACCGACCCAGCAGTGGACCGTAGGATCCCTCTCCCCCGCCAACTAAACTGCCTAACAAAAACTACCCTAAAACAGGAGAACCAAAACTGAAAATAGGACCACCGGCCACCTACACCCCAAACTAAACAACAAAACCCAGCGGCCTTGGAACACAAAACAAAAAGGGCAACCATCACGCCTGGCCAAACGAAGCGGATCAAAAAAAAAATGAACAGAGAAGAAACACCGACCTACTCCCGCTGTGTTTCAGAGTGTGTGTGAGGGTAGAGAGCGATGCACCTCTCTCCAACCCTCTAAATACACACCTGCGCTCAGGTGTGTATCTAGTGGGAGGAGAGAGCCAAGAGGAGACAGGAACGCGCGTAACACCCCCACCCTAAAATGTTGAATCGGAATACCATGAACGCATTCAACATGAACACGACAATGCGTCGGCCAATACATTTTTCGCGCCCTTAATATGCTTGATCGCCAAGTTGAATGATTGCAACAAGAGGGACCAGTGCATGCGTTGATTCAAAATACGCATCTGATTGATAAACACCAGCGGGTTATAATCTGTATAAACGACGACAGGGCTGACGGAAGAGCCAACATAGACCTCAAAATGATTCAAAGCCAAAATGAGAGCCAGTGCCTCCTTTTCAATGGTGGAGTAAGCACGCTGGTGGCGATTATACTTCTTCGTGAAGCAGGACAGCACCCGCCCCAGCATCACTCGCATCCACGGCAATTTTAAACGGACAGTCAAATGCAGGCGCAGCCAAGATTGGAGCATTAGTCAAAAGAGCTTTAACACAATCAAACGTGCGCTGACAACTGTTAGACCAACGAAACCGACACTTCGGGCTGAGGAGGTCAGTAAGCAGGTGGCGATGGCAGAGAAGTTCCTGTAGAAACTGCGATAATACCCCGCCATCCCCAAAAAACCATGCAACTCATGCCGCAACATAGGAGCAGGAAACGAAAAGATGGCCTCGACCTTCGAGTCCACCGGCTTCACTCGGCCCCGACCCACAATCTTTCCCAGATAAGAGACTGTAGCCCGGCCAAAATCACACTTCGCCAAATTAAGGGTGAAATTGGCACCGCGCAAATGCAAGAACACATCCCTAAGTTGCTCAACGTGACCATCCCAGGTGCTCGAATGCACCACTATATCATCGAGGTAGGCCTCGCAACTGGCCAACCCAGACAAAACCGTGTTAACCAGACGCTGAAAAGTCGCTGGAGCATTGCGTCATATTACTACTCACTGTCATATTGCGCGGCAAATCAATTGCACAATTTGTGCATATTGCTCAAAATGTGGGCGTATGGGTGATTGTGAGACCGTACACACAGTGCAGGTTCTGCGTTAAATGTAGAGTTGGAGATCTTATTCTAGAGCATTTTTACTGAATGGCTTTAAATCCTCTTCACATCCCAACTGCAACCGATTAAATAAATGCTTTTTCACAAAAATGAAAAAAGTAAGTCACCTGTGGAGCAGACAATCCTGGAAAAACACCATCCAATCATTTTGAGCACCACGTTCAAGTCAATTGGATTGTGATGTGTCAGTCAAACTGCCATCTCTGTCCCTCCCTCCCTCACTCCTCTGCGCGTACCGCTCTTCATACACAAGACAACACCAGTAATCCAGTGTACCACACTGAAGTCCAGTAGGTGGCACTGTACCTCTTAGCTGGACGCTGGATGGTTTATTATGATGTTAGGTGTTATCTTACCCGTGAGTGTGCCATGAGAAAAAGCTCTCTAAAAGATAGCGATGCTGCGCAGTGAAGCCCCACTACACGCAACAGCTGCATTAAAACGAATTACATTGGGTTGCGCCACAAAGCCGATACCTTCACAGAGCAACTCTATGTAAGCCACAATTCTTTCTGTGATGCCATCTTATGTAGTAGGGCTTCATCTTAACCCCTTCAGGTAATGATCAGATTGTGTTATTTCCCTCTCTTCTTGCAGGCTCCAGGTTTTCCTGGTGATGACCTCACTGTTGTTCCCTACCCCTGCTGTGATACACCTATCAAGTTCATATGCATGTTCAGAACTGAGCACAGACTCAAACACATGCAAACATACAGTTCCAGATGTTTAGGTCATATCTGATTAATTACTATGTGGAAAAGTTCAGCCTTATTTTTCTTTAGTCTTGATGACATTTTGCGTCCATCGTGTTGTGGCGTCCAATGCTGAACAAGCGTTATGTGTTCTTGTGCTCTGGAGGCATGGCCTCAAACAGAAGTCTGAGGAAAGGAGCTTGGACCTTTGAATTGCCTTGCCTTTCAGGGAGGGGCAGTCCTGGTTCTCATTTCCTGGTTGTTCACTAAAGCAGGGCTAACAGCAGGGGGATGGAGCTGGCATGGGTTGACTCATACAGTCAGGAGTCTCTATTTTGTCTACCATGGTTATAAGTTCATTCACAATGTGAGATAATTACTTGCAACTACAAACAAAATAAATAAAATATGTACAGTTATTGAAAATGAAAATGAAATTGAAGGAATACAGCATAAACAAGAGGTAACATATGTCATTAATAGGCTCTCTCACCCTCTTCTTCATTGACCTTTAGTCTGTGCAATCTGTTCTTTCTCTGTTATCACGGTACATAATGAAAATGAATATTTACTCTGCAGTAACTCACCAGATTCTCGCCCGAGTCCCTGTGGTGCTTGCACACAACTGTTGGTCGCCTTCCATCACCCAACGGCTGATTGCGCGGTTCACTGAGGGCGAAGCAAGGACGAGGAAAACACAAGAACATGCAGCGACATTAAGTCTCCGTGTCTGGAGGAACCTGGCTCCCTGCCACTTAGCAGATTTTAATGTGGTCGCCCCTCAACACCCCCCCCCCCCCCCCCCCCCCCCCCCACTCTCAATCCTCCAAAGATCTGCTTTTAATGCTTCTTCTGTCATCATCGCAGCCTTTGATGCGCCACTGATGAGTAAATTCAAAGAAACACTGGCTGCAGGCGACAAAACATTGATTCGGCTCCAAAAAGCCTGTTCACCTTGCAAGCTACTCATGTTGCCTTTCGTCTGAGTTTTCAAC